GCAGCTCTGGAGATAGATTTCATTACCTCTTGAAATTTTCCCAAAGGTCTGTCTACAAAATAAAAATGCTTTACTAATCTTAATGTATTTTCAAACTGGCAGCAAAAGATACCAACGTATATAAAATCGGAGCTACGAAACCAAAGCTTAAGATTTTTTTTTTTAAATAGAAGTCACTTTTTCTGAGTGTCCAACTTCAAATGTTTCAAAGTTAAAGTAATTGTTCCACTCTAAATGTTATTGCATTTTGTATGCCCAAAGCACAGCTGTCATGAACACCATAAGCAGATTCACCACCAGCAGCTCCAGATCCCCAGTACAGGGGCTCATTTAATAGGAAAATGGACAGCACAGTTACATAGGTATTTGGCCTGACTAGCCCTGTATACAATTCAATCACTGCTATGAAGTTCAACTGCTTACAGCAAGAGTTCCAACACAAGCTGGGGCCAGTTCCCAAGCTCAAAAGTTTAATCCAGACATTCACTAGCTTTCTGGTACAGATCTTGTAATCTAATTATCTTTTAAAAATTTCACAGGTATTTTAAAAAGCAATTGAGAAGTTCTTCCCTGACATTCTAGCAGTTATCAGTGTGGTAACTTCTGCCAGGTACATGGATCAGAAATTAAGTTCAGTCCACCACATAAACAATTCACTAACAATTTAAATAATGACAAGGGCTTCCTGACACAAATCTGTTGTGAAAAACACAGTTAAAACTTATCTCTTCTTAGACTGTATCAGGAAAGAGAAATCTGCAACAATGGCCCTGCTAACATGGGTGGACATAGCTTTCACATTCAGAGTTCTTTTATAAAATCCTTCTAATGTTAAGCTGCTGATATAATTATTATGTTAAGCTGCTCTATAATTATTCCTTCTAATATCTCCTCAGACTTTGATTAAGTATGTATTCAAGCCAAGCACTCATAAGTGTCTCATAGATAGGTTCAGAGCTGGAGTAAAGTATCTAAGCACAGAGCTATGGAATGCAGAAAACACACTGTACAGCACAGGTTCAGCTGCAGGCAGGCACACATGCCCAGAAATAAGAAAGAAAGGCCAGGAAAAGGGCAGCTGGGAGTTTGTACCCCCCCCCCCCCAAACTTGTCTGCTCCCTGGGAGCTGACAAAAGGCAGCAGAAATGATGAGCTGTAAAGTGCTTCATTAGCCCTAGAGAGAGTAGGAACTTGAAGAGCACCGAGGCAGCGTCATTACTGAGAACCTTAACAAAGCACAAGGGCCAGCACTGCTCTCTCCATGTGTCTGTCAAAGGAAGGAGGTCCTGCACCTTCTGAACTCTGCCTGGACCACATGACAACATTTTCTCCGCAAGAGGGCTGTCAACAGTTTGGTAAGAGTTTTAAACTGAATGGCGCTCTTGCCGAATTGTTTATAAAAGTACTGAATGTCATTGCAACATAAACACCAAGGGAATGTAAATCGAATAGACAGGCTCTTTCTTCTGTGGAGTACAGCAAGTGTTAGGCAGTTATTTGTCCCTGCCCACTACACTTCTAAAACAAGTAGATTTTAGAATATCTCATGTTTTGCACTGATGATCAGAAACATTACTTAAACATCATTACAGCAGGGATGGTATTCTGCTAGAAACGAAGAAATTAGGGCACAAATATTGTACACTATGAACAGCATCCATTCAGGTGCTTTATCCCTTATTCACTCTTCTTGCTCTTTTTCTCTCTTTCCTGCAATTCATGGGTTGCTGCAGATAGAAATTTATCTTTCTTTCCCTTCTGTATCATCCCCTAGTGTTTTAAACTTAATTCCATAAATAGATTTCTTTATATAGGGCTATTCTATGACAAGTATATCATTATTTTAGAATCACTGTTTGATTTTAAAATAAATACAAAATTCAGTTTCAAGTGAAGAAAATTCTCACTTCCATTCCCACAATTTCTCAGATGTTACCAGTGTCCAGCACTAAAACATATTCACAGCTTCCTCTTACACCCTGCAAAACTATAACTATAGAGGTGTTAAAGATCACCACAAAATGATCCCATAGAACAGATGTTTCTTCTCAATTGCTAAAAGCTGGAAATCCACCTGTTTTCAAATTTTATTTTCTTTCTACTGCTGGTTTTGCTGCAGAAATACCAATCAGCAGCACATCAGTCAGTCAATACCAGCCAGCAGGGAGACACTTAAAGGTGTTCACTGCACAAATCATTTCTTGGAATGCTCTGTTCCAGGCTGTCCTGTTCTTCAGTTTGCTGAGCAGACTGGCTTAACGCAAACACACAAACTGGTCTTCATTTTTCATTAGATAATGGCTTATTGAGGAGAAAACCAGTTTCAGAAATGTATGTTCTCATTCACTGCTTATGAAAATACCAACAGTTTATGTACTGCACTTAGTGTTTACTTTCAACAAATTTCTGTAATTCAGAAACCAGTCTCCAATAGGTCTTGAGCAGAAATGCCTGTGATTGGCTGCAATGCCCACTTAACTCTTCTGTGGCTATCAACCCTTTCACTCCCTCTGAGTAGGTACCTTTCTTCCTAAAGATAACAAGCAGTATTGCTCCATCCCACTACTCAGTCCAACTTTATTGTTCAAGTCAATCCTCTTTGGCACCTAAAGCCAAGCTTCTGGGCCTGATGTTTTTCATACTGAGTATGTTTTGCTTCTCAGATTGACCTGGAACATCTCTCAGAAGCTGCGTAACAACCCCAAAGATCTAGACATTTTCATTCTGTTTTCCTAGATAAAGAGGCAAGTAATACTAAGGAGCTCAACAACTTCTCCAGACCACAGTATAACTTGAGGAATATAAAACCTATCACTGTCCTTCCCTATTCACCCTGAAGTTTAATTAGCCAGACTAACATCACCAAAGTGCATCTGCTCTGAACAGGGATACCCAAAAAAAGCTCAGAGAACAGCATCTACCTCCTGGGGCCTATTAAGTGTGATCAAAAATAGGTCAGTTTTCCAGGAAGGACTTCAAGCAGAGCACCACGCCAACCTCTTGCTGCTCTTTGCTGAACGACTCAGCTGTTCACTGACAACCTTAACCACTTAGGTTAACATACCTTTGCCTCAATGCATTCATTGTACACCCAACAGCCCAGAGGGCCCGAGCTCCTGGGCCAGGGCAGCAGCATGCTCCAGGGACCCGGCAGGACAGTGGCAAGGATCCTCCTGCAGCACAGTGACCTCCTGGCACCAGGACCCTGCCAAGGTGGGCTGGTCCCAGGGCATCACCGGAGAGGCTCCAGCCGCTGCAGCCACAGGCATGCCTTGGAGGCAGCAGGCTGGCTGCAGAGCTGGGTGACAATGATTTTTCACTCCTGTACCAATTCAACTTCTTTAATTCACACACAGAAAGCATAAGGCGGCAACGGTCTGTTTTTCAACATGGTTTTCTCTTGCTTAAAGGAGGAGGTGGGCAAGAAACAGGTTTAAACAGCAGCCTATACACTGAGTCAGTGCAGGGAGCAACATAGGGCAATAAAAAAAATCACAGAATTCTTAGGGCAGGAAGGGACCTCTGGAAATCATTTAGTGCAACCCCCACCAAGGCAGGGTCTCCCGGAGCAGGTGCACAGGAAGTCATCCAGGTGGGTTCTGAATGTCTCCAGAGAGGGAGACTCCACAACCTCCCTGGGCAGCTTTTTCCAGTGCTCTGCCCCAGAGAAGTTCCTCCTCATGTTGGGTGAAACTTCTGTGCTTTAGTTTATGGCTATTGCTCCTCGTCCTGTGACTGGGCACTACCGAGGAGTCTGGCACCATCCTCTTGTCACACATCAGTAAGATAGATACACATATACATGCACCGGTGAGACCTGCTCTCAATGTTTTCTTTCCAGACTAAACGGGCCCAGCTCCCGCAGTCTCTTCTCATAAGAGACTACAAAATATAAGAGATGCTCCAGACCCCGCACCACCTTTGTAGCCCCCTGCTGGACCCTCTCCAGTAGCTCCTTGTCTTTCTTCTACTGAAGAGCCCAGAGCAGGGCATAGTAAATAAGACCAATCTCAGTAAGTTAAACTTAACACACGACGCCTTTATAAAGGGCCGAAACGCGTGTTTTAGCCGGCCGCGGCGGCTGTCAGCCACCCCCGGGCTCCCGCAGCCCGTCAGCGGCCGGGGAGGCCACGCCGCGCCGGGCGGGCGAAGGGAGAGGAGGAAGGGAGGAAAGGAGGGCGCGGGCGGCCCTGCCGGTCCCCGCGCTGCGCCGCCCTGGCTGCAGCCGGCGGGCCCCGTGCCCGGCCGGTGCCGCCCCCCGCTCTCGCACCACTTTGAGGTCCAGCACGCCGTCCTTGGCCCCCTGCAGCAGCGACACGAACTTGGTGGTCAGCAGCCCCAGGCTCTTCTCGTGGCGGCTGCTGCCGCCCGCCGCCTCGGCCGCCGCGGCCATGCCGCCGGCGGGCCACGTGTCGCGACCGCCGCAACGGCCCGAGCGGAGCGCGGCCCGAGCGGAGCGCGGCCCCGGCCCAGCGGCGGCAGGGGCGGCCCGCAGGAAGTGACGCCGCCGCCGTTGCCCGGACACCGGCGCGGCCCGGCCGCGGGGCTGCGGCTGCGGTGGGGCCGGGCCCGGCCCGCGGCCCTGGCGGGGCGGGCGGGCTGCGCAGGGGGGGCTGCAGTTGGCTGGGTCGGGCTGCTCTCGCTCAGGGCCCCCAGGACGGATAGCGCCGGCCTGGAGTCGGGCAGACATGTCCCTCGAGCCTTCCTTTTGCTGCCTCGATAGCTCCTTGTCACTCATTTCACCGTTCGCATTTGCTATAAAAGCACTTAGGTCAATTGCAGACGGTGTTCTCACAAGCCCCAGGCGAGGCACAAGACACGCTGATGATCTGGCCAGGTGCACAGCGAATTCTCCATGCTTACCCAGCCCCTTCCACGGTGTCCATATATACTTGGCCTTAGTTCAGGTACACCTCTTTCCCTCAGTTACTATCGAATAAGAGCAGAGAAGCGTTGAAGTCCGTACTGTGCAAGAACTCCGGGGACGCACGTAAAGAGCAGACCCGCAGCTGGGCGTGACACAGGACAGCGGGCACGGGGCCCTGGGTGTGCCGCGGCGCGCAGGAGCTGCACCTGCACAGCCCATCGCAGGCTCAGGGCAGCGTCTGCGTGGGAACGCTCTGGACCTGGAACCGCAGTCCTGGTCTCAAGTAACACAAAATTTTCTTGATTCCATACTCACTATTGATCGAAACAGATTATTCTCTAGTCAGCAAATGAAAGTCCAATAATGGAATTGATTTTAAATTGTCATGATTAATGCATGAGAGCATGCTTTGCATTTGGCAAGGCTAGTGTTCACATTTTGTTTACATTTTTATCTAATTAAATTTATTTTATTAAGTTATGTCTTTCAGTCATGCTGGGTTGAAATTTATCCTTGTGAATAGGTAAATTCAGTGCAGGTTTCACCTGCACCATGTCTTTATTATTTTACCATTTTGAAAGTAAAAAATCATTTAAACACTTACTAAAAAGCTCTAAGGAAGCCATGTAAGCATAAAGAGGGAAACAATGCCAAAGATGGAGTCATGTACAAGAAAAACAAATGTTCCAAGCACTACTAACACACCCAGGTACTATAATATGAAATTCCTGAGCCAAGAGCAAGGAATAGAAAGAATTAATGTTAAAAATGTTAACAATTACCTATGATGAAATCCAAAAGTTTCAGAACAACAATTTTGGAATTGAAACTCAGAGGAAATATTAAGATATTAAATCAGGGGGAAAATAAATTCTTTTAACTTCCTGGTGCATTCTAGGTATTCAATTACTTCACCCAAAGTGTGGCTTGGTCAAATAATAAGCAAAGAAAAAAAGAAGTGCCCCAGGAAACACTTGATCAACATGCCAGAAAGGTACTCTGAAGTTGTGCACGTTTTCTACACCAATCATATCCATGAAAGTACTACTGAATGGCTTTCCAGGTGAGCGTTTCCCTCACACACTGTGGACAGAGTATATAGAGCACAAGAGTAAAAAATAATTCTTCTGCCTTTAGAAAACCAATAGTTGGGGTTTGTTCTTACACCCTGCTAACCATTACCAATATTTCTTAATTTCTACGTATTATGAACCAATGACACAGGTTCCAAGAAAACAGTCCTTAGCAGCTCTTTCCTACCTTAGCTGAAAATACCACAGTGCAGACACCCCTTTATTGCTGATGGCTCACTCCTGGTGTTTTCATGGGTCAGGAGGGGTGGGAACGGCATGCAGGGAGTCAGAGCTGAAGCAGGTGTCTGCTTTCTGTCTCCTCCACAAAATTGGAATTTCACCCTTTTCTAAGTGCAATCTCTAGGCAATTCCCAGCCCTACACACCTCCCCCGTGCAAAGCAGAGTGGGGGTTGTTTTCCTAGGCTCTTGCAGGCACCTCATTCAGTTATTGGGCTGCCTTTTTGTAAATTTTGCTTTGCTACTGCTACTTCCATTTTTAAAACAAAGAGTTCGTTCCCAGGTTTCAAGGTTGCGCTTTGTTAAAGGCTTGTCACTGATCAGCAGATTTTGTTTTCACTGCCAAGACTTCTGCTTTTAACTTGTGCCCATGTTTTCAAGGTCTTTGTCATCCCTTAAGCTGCACCTCATAACAAGAAGCAGCTAGTATCAAGCTCTGGTTCACACAATAAACTTTCATTAACAAATTGATAACAATCCCAGCAGGCCTCACACAGTTACCCAAAGGCCAGGGCTTTTTACTATCACTAAATAAAGTACTTTTAAAGGGCTGCTGGGCACCAAAACGCACCATCAATTACTCCGTGCCAATGTGCTAAAGTCAGGGTTCTGAACAACTGATGGTAAAGTCATGTTAGGGACTGCTATGGTCACTGGAGCAACTGGAGTCTGCTACAGCTACTGCAAGGTGCAAGGGGAGAGGAAATAGCCCCCCAACCTGGTGTGCCAGCATGTCCCTGTGATTTTACTGCTCACAGCTCTCTTTACTTCAGCAGCATGAAAATGCTTTAGAGGACGGGGTAGTTCAGTAACTTTAGGATACTCTGAGAAGAAGCAAATGAAGTAAACCTGAGTACTGTAGAGATGGTAAAGCCTCTACCATGAAATAAGTGTAACAATATATTAACATAAGGGTTTTGTTTTGCTTCCATAAGAAGCTCTTAGGCTATTATTTCCTTCTATTTCAAAAGCCTGGTAGGAGCCTATTGCTGTGGAGAAAACTAAACTATGCTGCCAAAAAGGCCACTCTAAGTTGCAGGAGTTGTACATTCTCCAATAGTGGCAGATTAAACCTGTTTTCAGGTATAAGAAAGATGGAGAGTCTATTTACAGGGGCATGTTGTGTCAGCACAAGGGAGAATGGTTTTAAACTGAAAGACAGTAGGTTTAGATTAGCTGATAGGAAAAAATTCCTCACTGTGAGGGTGATGAGGCACTGGAACACGTTGTCAAAAGGGTTGTGAATGCCCCATCTCTGGAAGTATACAAGGCCAGGTAGGATGGGGCTCTGAGCAACCTGGTCTAATGGAAGTTGTCCCTGCCCATGACAGGGATGTTGGAACTGGATGATTTTTAAGGTCCCTTTCAAAACAAACCCTTCTGTGATTCAACATTCTTGGTTCTCTCATTATGAGAATCTTTACCTCACTGAAGCAAAGCTTCAAGGTTTTGGCTTGGAACTTTCTGACTTCCTTTTCTCATACTAAACATGCTAATTCCTAGTTGCATATGATGCTTTTCATCTATATATGTTTTGACCCATTTTGAGAGCAGTTAAAAAGAAACAAAGGTTAGAAATAACTATTTATTATGAAAATAATGTAAAAACATTTATCTGCTCCCTGAACTATCAAAATATACAACAAAGACTTAATTCTCTAGAAAACAAGGAAAAGTGCATGGCAGCAGATGAAACTGCTTGTGTAATATACATTTTTTGTATAAATATTAATAATCTTCAAAGTCTTGTTGAATATCATTCAGTGCATGTGTAAGTCGTCTTATTTTATTTTCCATGGCTTTTTTATTGCTTGCCATTTCTTGCAGAAGCTCCCGCATTTCTTCTTCAACAGAGTAGACCTGAAAGAGCACACAGAGATGAAGTAGAATTCTTGCTTTTCTTAATACACCTACACCCATATAATCTTGGCAATTTTTAACACTGATAAGCAATGTAAGATTATATGCTTAGGTTTGAATATGCAATGCATTACTCTTGATACTGTATGCAGAAGCAGAAATTTTTCTTTAAAAAAATGTATTAATCTGCTAGGAGGTAGCAAGTACTGTATCAATACAGAAAACTTACTATGGAAAAAAGCACCAGTTGTCTTGTTAAGGAAGAATGCAGTACACACAGAAACAGTAACAGTTAAGGTTGGCATAGGTGAGTTAAATGGATTATCTGGCATAGATAATCATTACTCTTGCCTGTATGGATAAGGAAATGTTTAGCTATTGATTCGTAACAGCTGCATAGCATGGAGCTTCACTTTGCTTGAATATAAAACATTACAATGGCACAAGTCTAGAGATTTTCTTGCTGTGCAAAGACTGAATACTAAATCAGGACTGTTTCCATCCAGTCAGCCTGATAGATTCAAACAGGAGGCTTCCAAGCACCACTCTTATAGCACCTGTAGAATAAAAATGGAAATATAATAAATGTATAAATTGCATGTTAAAATTACTTTTTCATTTGCTGCTTCAATTTGTTTTTCCTTTTCATTTTCCAGGTGCAAAAGTTCTTCCTGATGTGCTGCCAGCACTGACTCAAGTTGTTTTCTGAAGGCATTATCCATTTTATGAAGCTTTTCCACAGCAATCCTAAAAAAATAATTGAAAAAAAAATCAAGGTCCTGCAAACAACTGAAGTGTTTTTGTTTGTCCAGTTCTGCCTTTGATAAGGTTTTAATAACTTAAGCATGAAGACGATTCTATATTGGCATCAGAAGTGCCCTGTTTTCTCAAGTACAAGTTCTAGCTTTATGCACTGTGTTTAGGACCTCTAGCATTGTCTAAGGAGAGGCATTTAATCCCTGGCAAAGGATATGAAGGTTAGGGCTTGCTACTGTCAACATGGACAAGAACTCTACCTATTTTCAAACATCTCCTATGCTTTTGGTTCCCAAGAAGTGAATGAACTGTGTGATCCTGTGAACAGCTTATGAGCCTGTGTCTCACAGAAATAGAGAAGTGTGTCCTTCACCATAAAGAAATGTTTCTTTAACTCCAAGCAAATTCTGCTTATAAAGGATAATTCTTAAATATGTGGGAACAAAATGCAAGGCAATTTTATACAATTAATTTGCAACAAAATTCTGAAACAAACCAGAATTATTTAGAACAAAAATTTCAGTTTCACAGTTGATCTTCTGACAGTTTCAAACCCCAATACTATTGACTATTTGAAGTAGTTAGTTTTGTTTGGCTTTTTATGTTATTGTTGTTTGCTGTTGATTTGTTGTAGTTCTGTTTTTTCTTTTTATACAGTCTTATTAACTAGCTGGTATTTTCTCAAGAATACTTGGGACAAAGGAACAAAAACATGAGAAGGGAGCCAAAGAATATAGTAAAAATCATCAGTTTAGCAAATTTCTCCATCATTCCAGAAGCATATGAATTAAGTTTTCAGTTTATGAGTACTTGTTTCTGTATCATCTCATACTAAACTACTAATTGATTGAAGAAATGAACAGTAAGAAGAACAAGAAAATAAATTTAAAATCTTACTATTTGTATGGGAAAAGAATGACAGTTAATTTAGAAACAGTCTGTCACAGACTGAAATAGTGATTAACAGACACCAAGTTGGGCAGGAATGTTGATCTGCTGGAGGGCAGGAAGGCTCTACAGAAGGGATCAGGGCAGGTTACACTGATGGGACAAGGCAAATTGTATGAGGTTATTTTCAAAGAAAATTAAAATAAAAAAGTTCAGATGCTGAATGATGTAACTGAATGCCAATTCCATGAAGTAAGTCACCTATAAAGCAAGAATTCCTTCTAGGCCCAGTTTGTACACCAGGTAGTTAAAAAGGTATTACACATTCTTTCACCACATAATCGAGCATTTCTGTGCAGTTATTAATAGTGCAACTCTACAGTAATTGAGTAGTCACAAAATAAACTATTGAAGTGGTCACCTTTGAGTTTGAAGACTTTTATTTCTCTCTTCTATCAGCTTCTTCTCTTTGAAATCAAAATTCTCCTTCATTTGTTTAACCTGCACCTCCAGCTGGCTTAATAGCTCTGCTTTACCTTGCCACCTCTTTTTCAGAGCACTGAAAATAAAATGCACATATTTACAATGAATGTAAATACCACTTCTTAGGAAGGCAGAAAAAGTTTCTCATACTTCCATTTTTCCTCATTTCTGTGGTTTTTAATAGCAAGCAAGAATAACTTCAGAGCAGTGTTCCATACAACGATCCCAAATAAATATTGTGATTTGTATGTATCACCTGTGTGCATTCTTAATGTCATCAAGTTCTACTTCTTTTTCTTCTAGCAGTTGCTTTAATTCCTCTTTTCTTTCATTTTGCCTTTCTAATTTTTTTATTAGCTTTTCACATTCAGCAGCTCTTTCATCCAACTCTATTTGAAGCAATTTCTGAGCTTCCCGATTTTCTTCATGGTGTTTTTTGATTTGTTTATCTTTTTCTTGTAAGCCCTTTAGAAGATAAATATTTTAGAATACACAAACTGGCTTAATTTTATTACTACCCCCTTAAGAGTATGTGTTTAGTCTATGATGGAATAAAGCAGAGAACAACATAAAAATTTACTCTTCTGAATATATGAAGAACACTTAGTAAAGCGATAGTCAGTTACTTAATCTTCACCTGAAAGAAGTCTGAATTTTAAAAATAGCCATCAAAACATAAATGTGAAGTTGAAAGCAAGATAAGAAAAAAGTTATTCTGAATCCTTATTCTACAAAAGAGTTAAATAAACAACTTATATGTAAGTCACTGAGCTCACAATCTGTGTAACAATGACTAATGCATCTAATTTTGACATAACATACTATAAAATTTTGATTATTAAGCTAAAGTTTTAGTCTGTAAATTAGATAAATGGAATTATTGGGACAAAACATATTACTTCTGCTGCCAAAATACTATTTTACAAGAACAAAATAAATTTTAAATATTTATGTTGTAAAATGAATGAGAGGCAGACTTTAAAATAAAAGGAAAAATAATTTTTAAAACACTCAAGAAGAATTATGCTATCCTAGTTTCAACTCTCTCACAATCATTATCAAGAATAAACTGAAGCAAGGCAAAGAGAAGAAAATCTGTACATAAATATGGCTCAGTGAGAGATTCAAAGAAGCATCACTGTGCATCTATTTAATAAAAAGCCCTCTTCTGCTCTCGGTGAAATGGATTGCCACTAACAGCCTGATTGTGATTTGCGAGTTGAAAAACTACAAGTGCAGACCCAGCTTTTATCAAAGGGTTTGTGACAGCCACAATTAAGACTTGCAATTAAAGTTAAGCACACAAATTGTTAGATATGGCACTTACTTCTTTTAGTCTCCTAATTGTTTCTGTCTGATCATCCACTATTTTGTTTTTAATTTTTATGGTATCACTGTCATGTTCCTTTTGCTTTTTTAATGTAACAATCTCATTTGTTAAAACTTCAATTTTTGCCTCCAGTTTCCCCCGATCTTGTGCAAGATGAGCTCCTGGACAAAATAGGATATTGATTTCAAGATGTGGAATGTTGGGAGATTGGGCTGGGGGAAGCAAAGGTAAGAATCTTACAAACAACAGGTTTGACTGTTTTGCCCATTAGAAACACTGTAGGGATTTAATCTGTGGGTAGGTAACACTTAAGAGGAAATGCAGAACTGAAGGTCTGTTTTATCCTTTTTGAAAACTTCTCTGAAAAATAGTTGACAATAATTCTTACAGACCTTTAAATACCATAACGAGGTGCTGAATCACAGGAATAGAGAACAATGCTCAAATTTTTTTTTCCCAGCATTTAACACTCTTTTAAGATATATACTGAAATTTCTATATTAGATTTCCCTGCTAGATAAGAAGCATTACATAACATTATTTACAGATCCTTGTTTTTCTAGTTTCACGTCTAAAAGTTCTTTGTATAACTTCATGGCATTTTCACATTTTCAGGAAACAGATAAACTGTATTCACAGCTGACTCCCACAGCTGCTGTTACAGATCCTCTATCAGACCATGTGCTATTTTTGCACAACATCTTTACAACTGGATAAGATCAGGAAGGCATCCAAGGACGTTGTCGGGATTAAAACTCTGTTGGGATGTTTATTTGAAACATAAGATACTGAACACCATTTTTACTGCAAAAGAAAAAACCCCACTATTTTACCCTGTTCTGCCAACTCCTGCCCCCATATTTTTCTTTCCATTTTTAATCCATCAATCACAGATTCCTGTGCAGTCAGCTGGGAAATAAGTTTTACATTTTCCTTTTTTAGAAGTTCAACTTGAACAGCCTTTTGTTTGTCTTCCTCAATCACAGCTTCAAGTTCTCCAGTTTGACACTGTACAAACAAACAGGAAAAGACAATAAGATCATTTACAAAAAGTGCAAAATTTCAAATCAATACTAAGGGGTTAGGAAACACCAAATATATACACCAAATTAAGTTAACTGAGAAATATCTTGCTTGCATTCAGGGCTCTATCTGCATCTCATTCCAGTTGTGAAACACAAATGTTTGCTTCAAATAGATATACTCCAATCCCAGAAAACTGTAGAGCTGACTTCCAAATACTGTAATCATAAAAATATGTCATTAATGTGATCATAAAAACCTGTTTAGAGTTATAAATGCACAAGTCAAGAAAAGCAAAAGATAAAGATATTTAAAAACTGAATCAGAAAACAACAGAAGCTGAAATGTACTTTCACTTCCAATGATAAATATGTATCTTTAATTATCCAAGCTACATTTTGTTTTACAGAGTACAGCCATTTAATATAGGTATTTTTCAATATTGTTCTTAAAAGTGTCACTGACTGGCAGAATCATATTCTGTAGAACAACAAAATGTTTGGGCACCCCAACAACAACATATAGAGGAGAGATTAGAAACAGCTGTGTAGGGGTTGTACCTCACCCAAGTTTTAGCACAAAGCTGGACTGGATCACACAACCATTTAAAAGTTATGCCCTTTAAATTTAAAACAATTATTTGTAGATAATAGACTAGTATTAGAATATGTTACCACAAAGCAACTGTGCCCACAGTACTGAAGATTAAAAACTGCCACACAGTAGACAATGAATAACGCTTCTAATATTATACAACTAGGAGATACTAAGCTAATAACTACACTGCATTATTTGTTCAATTACAGTTTTATCTTGTATAAGTGACCAATGCAGAAGCATGTTCTACTTCTTTGAATTTATAAGGGTCAGGGCTATTAATGTAGTTTTAATTGACCAACTGATATATACAAACTGCTACTGCTCACAGAGCAAGGAGTGCGCTTTCCAAAACATGAGTGAGTCAACATTTTTCTATATGGGGAGCAGTGTTTGTGAGAAATGGAAGTGCAAGATGCAAGAATAAAGGGCTAACACGCAGTACTGGGTTTTAGTGCAATAGGAAACCTGTGTCTTTTAGTTTATCAAGCTTGTATGGAGTCATTAACTTCTATAGATGAAACATCACAAAAAATAACCTATGTAGTTGAAATGTTTTGAAACAAATACCTTTAGGTTTGCTGTAGCTTCTTCGTTTGATTTTGTTAATTCTGCAATTTTTGCTTTCTGTTCTTCCACTAAATTTGTCAGGTCTTGGATC